GGTCGTTTATAGGGCCGTTTGTAGGGCCGAAGGGCAGCGCGGTGCCCCGCTCCGATCCCGCAGAGGTCAGCGCGGATCCGGCGCTTCCCGGCAGCTGTCGGGGCTGAGCCGGGACGGCAGCAGCACCCAAACGGAGCCCGGAACCCCGAACGGTTCGGTTTCCCAAAGCTGAAGGGTGCGGAACTGCAGCACTCAGAACCCAACCGCAAAACTCAGCCGAAAACCCAAAAATGATCGCTGCTCCCCCCCCCCCCCCCCCGGACACCCGGCACCAAGGACACAGAGCTCAGGAGCCCGTAATTCTGACCCTGTAACTCCAAACCCCAAAACCCAGAGCCTGTAACCCTGACCCCAAAACCCAGAGCCTAAAGCCCTGACCCCAAAACCCAGAGCCTAAAGCCCTGACCCTATAACTCCAAACCCCAAAACCCAGCTCCTATAACCCTGACCTCCAAAACCCAGATCCTGTAATTCCAACCCTTTAACTCCATACCCTAGAATCCTGTCCCTGTAATTCCAAATCCTATAACCCAGATCCTATATCTCCGACCCCAAAACCCAAACCCTACAACTCCATACCTTAGAACCAAGACCCCAAAACCCAGACCCTAGAACTCCAAACCCTGGAAACCCAGCTCCTATAACCCTGACCTCCAAAACCCAGATCCTATAATTCCAACCCTAGAACCCAGACCCTTTAACTCCATACCCTAGAATCCTGTCCCTGTAACTGCAAATCCTATAACCCAGCTCCTATAACTCTGACCCCCAAACCCAGATCCTATAATTCCAACCCCAGAACCCAGACCTTATATCCCTGACCCTAAAATCCAGCTCCTTTAACTCTGACCCTAAAACCCAGACCCTTTAACTCCATACCCCAGAACCCTGTTCCTGTAACTCCAAACCCTACAACCCAGCTCCTATAACTGACCCCCAAACCCAAACCCTAGAACTCCATACCCTAGAACCCAGACCTTATAACCCTGACCCTAGAACTCCAAACCCCATAACCCAGCTCCTATAACTCTGACCCCAAAACCCAGACCCTATAACCCTACAACCCCACACCCTACAACCCCACACCCTACAACTCACACCCTAAAACCCCACACCTCCAAGACCCCAAGGACCCCCCCCCCC